CCAGCCACCCACCCAAACATCCATCCGCCCAACCATCCATCCACCCACCCACCTGGCCACTCATCCATTATTGACTGAGCACCTAACAAGTGTAATGTACTGAGCTAGATGTTTGTGCTGCAGTAATGAACAAGATGTGGTCCTTGTCTCATGAACACTGATGGAAATGAATGTTATGAAATGAAGCGTCCCCCAAAGTGGCAGGTCCCCATCCTAAACCCCAGTCCCTGTGAATGTGAACTTATTTGGAAATAGGGTGTTTTGTAGATACTCTGAGAAATGAACTGAGGGTTCTAGAGGGGAGGGGGGTGGGGGGATGGGTTAGCCTGGTGATGAGTACTAAAGAGGGCACGTTCTGCGTGGAGCACTGGGTGTTATACGCAAACAGTGAATCATGGAACACTACATCGAAAACTAATGATGTAATGTATGGTGACTAACATAAGATAATAATAAAAAAAATAACAAAGTAAGATGAGATTGTGCTGTAAGAGGGTGGGCCTAACCAAGTGACCGGTGTCCTTATAAAAAGAGGGGGCTTTGGACAGAGACAGAAACACACAGGGCAGAGGCCGCGTGATGGTGGCAGGGACTGGAGAGACCCGGGGACACCAGAAGGTAAGAGACATGGATCGTCCCTGAGAGCCGGCTGACGCCCCGGTTCCAGATTCCCAGCCTCCAGAATGTGAGAGAGGAACTTCCTGTTGTTGTAAATCACGCGGTTGGTGGTTATTTGTTGCTGCAGCCACAGGACAAAAACACGATGTGTAATTTCCTCTCAGCCTGTGCTAGTTAAGACAGCAGAGCAGGGTAGGGTGAGGGGCTTCAGGGAGGCCCCGTGAGGGATGGGGTGAGGGGTCCAGGGGCACACTGGGGCGGGCTGGGGGTGCCTCTGCAGAGGGGCGGGCGCCCAGCAGAAAGGCCTGGAGCTGGAGGGACTGGGGAGAGGAGCAGCTGAGCGGGAGGCCCAGGCGCCTGGTCAAGACTGCATAGGCCTCAGGGGCCAGGAGAGGCCCCCGAGGGACCAGAGACCGCTGTGGGATGTGGACAGGACCAGACTTCCAGGCAGAAGGTGGCTGGGCCTGCAGGGGGGCACAGGTGGGCGGGACTGCTGGCCACGGGAGAGATGAAGGGGAGGCCACGGAGGGCCCCTGCGGGGCCGGGAGGGGCACAGCGGAGGCAGCGGCCCCTTCCTTCCATTACACGTATTCTCGGAAGTGTGTGCATCTAGAACACACACTTTCACTAACACATCAGTCAGAAAAGGCAGATGATTCCACGCTCTTTCAACAAAATCACCTGGGTCAGGAGATGGTCCCATGAATGACACACTCTGACAGGCAGACACTACCTTCACCTGTACCTCCAAAGAAGGGCACGCCACCCCAACATATGTCCTCAGTGTTCGCCAGGGACAAAGTTCAAGGCGGACACCTGGTACCCGGATCACCGTGACCTCATTCCAGCCCCCACGAGACAGCACGCAGTTGTGAGGTGCCTTAGAAATACGTCACTTAGAGCGTGGCCCATCTTCCCCAACCACTGATGAAATCCAAACCCATAAGAACACAGTTATTTGCGCTGCATCTTCCTAAGGCCTCACTGCCTCGTAGTGACAGGAAAATACCACGGCCGGCATCAAGCTGTAGCTTTTTGCAGGGACGCACTGATAATTTATAGGTTGCCACAGAAATGGCGTCTGAATTTCTAGCCGTGCTTTATAATCTGTGGCTGATATAAATTAATGCAAATGTGGAAGAGAAACAAAAACTATATTGTACATGATTAAACGCATTAACAAAACACAAGCGCATCTGAATACTAATATTTGTACAACAGTTGGGCTTTGTGTCCCTGAATAGGGCTGTTTGTGAGGCACAGACAAGGGCATTCGTGTCCCGAACGCAGCTTCTCTGAGCACAAGGGCAAGGGCAGCGGTCGAAATCTGCGGATGTGCAGCATTTTTGGTCGGGACGAATGCAGTTTTAATTTGTCAAATAATATCAGCTTTCATCAAATTAAAGCCCGATGCAGAGTGTTTATTGAGACTATAACTATGGAGCATAGCATTTAGTGCACAATTTGTGAGGCTTGGGTCGGATTCTGCCAGAACACACACTTAAAATGCTCTAGTGTTGTTCAAATTCTACAGGAGTTTGCCAATAAAACTTAAAAAAAAAAAAAAAAAGCCCACCTCAATCCGACCTCCAGAAAACTGGTGGGAAATGTACTGGACTTCTGCAAGTAATGCTGTTAAAATCCCAGGAGGGCTTTCCGGAGCATCCCTGAGGAACAGAGCCGTCACTCACTCGAGAGGGGCTTCTACAGCAGGGACGCCCACCCTGCGGGCGGCTGACACTGGGGCAGCGTGCACACCGCTAAAGAAGCTCGCAGAGGCCGGGCCCTGAGCGAGGCTCCCGCCGAAGGTCACCGTGGTCCTACCGCAGCCTGTGAGTCTGGCTCCTTCCGCCCACGCAGCCCCCCGGCAGGCAGCTGTCCCAAATCCTGCGGCTTCCCCCCAAATTATTTCTCACTTGACTGACTACAACCACCTGTTTTCTTGTTCTTTTCTTTTCTTTCTTTTTTGCCACGTTATGCAGGGGTTTCGCCACGTGGTTGTCGCTGGTCCACAGGCTTCGGCCTCTCGTGGGATTCCATTCACCCACAGTGGCTGGAAGCACCTGCACAAGGCCTCACAGGCCATGGCCCTCGTGCAGGCCCCCAGGGGCTCCCCAGCGCCATGGGCACCAAGGAGAGGCTCGCCCGCCCGTTCACACTTCAACATGTCCCCGCACGGGTGCCCGACTCATGTCCTCAGGCCTCTGCTGTCCTGTCTCCCTGTGCCACGTCCTGACCGCCCGGAGGCCTGCGCTGGGCACCTGGCCGGGAAAGCAGCTCCACTGGTCAGGGCCGCTCAGCAGCTGAGGGTGGCTGCCCCCCGATCCTGAGAAGTGTGTCGGGTTTGCCAGCTCCTCTCCAGCCCGGCGGTGTGTCCCAGGGGCCCTGCCGAGGTCGGCCTCCATCTCATCCGGCGGGGAGCTACGTACGCACTAGGTGCCCAGCAAGACCGTCTGATCAGACACACTGATGTGTGCAGGGCCATTCCTCCAAAAGGACAGAACAGAAGCCAAATACCACCCCCTTCTTTGCTAGAAGACTTAGCTGTTGCCACTGCAGCTGTTAAATTGCTTTCTGTATTCTTAAGTGAAGCTTTCCCTTCGGTCCTGAAAGGGTTCTACACTAGAGTCTAAGGAGCTCTGGCTTAGAAATGAATTTTAGTGGTATAATCTAATTCTTTCTGGCCATGCAGAGGTTTTGTAATATTCTAAATTTAATCAGTCGGCTTGGCTCTAGGGTAGCAGAATAAAGAATTTAGTCTCCCTGCTCTAGTCTCTCATAAACTCCAAATCCGAGTTCCTGTAGTTAAGCCTGGGTGCCCGAAATGACCATGACTCGTTGAGGGGACTGACCTGACAAGCCATTTCGTCCACTTTGCTCTGTGGTCCGCTGGAGAGCACCTGACCACGTGGGGGGTGCCCGACCGCATGGGGGGGGCGCCTGACCGCGTGGAGGGCACCTTACCGTGTGGGGGGCACCTGACCGTGTGGGGGGCACCTGACCGCGTGGGGGGCAGAGAAACTCCCAATGCTGCAAAGCCATGGACAGCAATGCCCAGAGTCAGGGCCAACGAGGGCAGAGGTCTGCAGGGCAGCAGAGAAGGGCCCGGGAGACTAGCTTCAACCCCTCTAACTAGCTGACGGCCTCGGGGAGGTCACTGAACAGAGTGTCTGCTTACGGATGGGGAGACCCAGCGCCGTTCTTGCCTAAACGGACCTGAAGGTCCGTTTCAGCAGCACGTGCCCAGCTTCCACCCAGTGCCCCAGCTCCCACACACGCAGCTGGCCACCGAGAGCCCTGGAAAAAGGGAGGCCTTTGCCGCCTGTGCACACTGTTCCAGATGCATTATCGACAGCCCTATAAGCAGGTAGTTTCCTCTCTTCATATGAGGAAACTGAGAACATAGGAAAGTTAAAATAGGAACCGACGGGGGAGGTGATGTTAATCCAGGTCTGCGATCGGCACGCTGCAGGTCTGGGGGCCTCGCACCCGCACTTCTCCTACCCCAACTGGCTTTACCTGCAATGAGGCGTTTGCCTCAAATGGGAAAATTTCACTGCAGATAATTGGGGGCTACGCCATGTGTGGGTCACAGCTGCTTAACAGAGAGGGACTGACGAGGAGAGGCGGGGGGCCTTTGCAGAAAGCCACCAGCCCCGAGCGAAGAGCTCAGCCAGGGCCCCCACCTGCAAACAGGAGGCCCAGATGCTCCCAGCGGGCTCTGCAGGCACGGGAGGGGGCTGTCTCCCTGCACATGCCCCTGCTCACCCGTACCAGCCGTGGGCTCTCCTTGTCAGAATATGTTCATGAGTGTTCAACACCAGAACAAGCTGAGTTCAGGAATCCGGATTCACCAGTCTGCAGATTTTTCACCCAAGGAGCTAGGATTCTTCCTGGTTCAAAAACACGGGTCCCCAGCTTATTACTGTCCAAGCTACCTCCCTGTGGCAGGCCTCATACATGGTGGATCACGGCCTCCGAGGCCCCAGAGGAGCCTGCCCAGAATCACTGCTTCCAGATCTTGTCTAGGGCTCACAGGATAGACGACTGCCTGAGGAAACGGTAGGACCCCTCAAGCTAAAACACGAGCAGCTAGGAGCAAGTGTCCCAGATGCCCAGGCACCACCAGAAGGCTCATGACCGGCTCCTGGCACCTTCCTGCCTCTCCCCCCTTGGGTCATGCACCTTGTGGCCCTGCTCACGATGTCCTGTGGTCCCCCTGGAGCAGGGACCCCGAGGTCGCGGGGAGCCTGCATGGAGAAAGTTCTAAATGGGGCTGCCAGGCCCCCCCCTGGGCTGGAGAGGGCATTCACTCAAGTGACGGGGACGCTGGTGCTGGGACACCCGGGGACTTTCATCTAAATACACAACGGCAGAACTCAGAGGAACCGCATGCGCTGTTGCCCTGATACACTCAACGGTCTTCTCCTGAGTGATCTGCAGCCTGCATCCCTAGCTGCCAGTCCTTTTAGGAAGCATTATCCAAAAATAAGTCCATAGATCCAAATGCACCAGCGTGTCCTATTTTTCATAACCACTCAGATTAATCCTGAGTTTCTAACTCAAAGCAGCACCATGACATAGATCAAAGGGACTATCATTATGGAATGAATCCACAAAATGGTGGAAATCTTCAATTATCTGGTCTTTGATTTGTTGTTTGTAAACTCACGCTTTAACTTTTACTTTTTTTCCCCATATTTTTTCATCTCGTGGTATCTTCAAGATCACTGAGACGACTGAAGCCATCGTATAATCCGAATACCACAAGTGACCTTAACTCAGGCCCTCTGTTACAGGGACGAGCTGACAGGGCCAAGCAAGGGCGTGCACACCCAAGTTCACGTCCTTCAGAGCGGGCGAGCTGCAGTCACATGCCGTTCTTCAGAGTCAAGAAGACCTTGAGATACAGAGATGTGGCTGCAAAGAGCTAAAGAAAAGTCACCTAATACCTCAGACCTTTGCAGAAGAGCTCCCACTTCCAAATAACCGGCAGAAGGGGTGCTGCCTCTTGCAGCCCAGGGAGAGCCATCGAGAAGCCCAGGATTCTGCACTGAAATAAGACAACATTAACTCTCCTCCAGAGGTCTTCCTAAATTCCGTTTGCCTCTGTCGGCAGGCAGATGGTGTGGATCCACTGTTTCAGGATTTTTATGGAAGGCAGCTTTGCAGATGAGCACATAACCCCCCCAGAGCACGCCTGCCCGCCTTCCAGCACCTCAAGTCTGGGGAGCCAGTCCTCCCTGAGCCCGCCCATCAATCGCCGCTCAGAACACCAGCTCCTTCGGCAAGAACATGCTCCAATCCCCCCACGCAGAGATTCCGGGAGAGCTGAAGAAAGGGGAAGCAGAGCTTGTTACCTTTGTTTAGACCCGAGGCTGGGCCAGATTCTCATTTTCACTGAAGGTATGAAATTAGTCATCTACCATCGGAACAAAATTTCCAGCTTGCTTTTCCGTAAAGGAGGTGTTTTGTGTTGTTGCTTGTTTTTAACTTTTTTGCCTTGTCACTCTGGGCCTGAAGGTGCAGGACCTCCGCAGTGGGGGCCGGGGCCCCAGAGGGCCCCACCACCAGAGTCTAGATTACAGACTCTCCTGGGAGTCTTCAGGAGGACTGATTAAGATAAAAGCATCCTGACAGAAAAGAAGCATAATTAAAGTTCCTCGAACCTGCTATAACCAAGTGCAGAAATAAAAACCAGCCAGTGTGCAAAGGGAGTGCGATTCTGAATGGTGGGGTGTGCTCCACAGACGACACCGGGAATAACAGCTGTGGGCCTGGCCCGCCCCGCCTCGCCCCTGACCACCTCCGAGCAGGACCAGCTGCCTTCCTGGGAGCACTGCCACTGGGGAGCCCCTGCTTCCTCACCGAAGGCCTGGAACCAGGAGATGTGGGTGTTGAGGGGGGGACTGTGGAGGTGGAGGCAAAGACCCGGCCTCCATCTCTGGCCAGAAGGACCCCTCTTTCTAAGTGAGGTTTTTAACACTGGGCATGCAGATGGGTTATCTGACATAACCCACTGATATGAGAAAGCCCCAGAAGAAGCATCTTGCCAGGTCTGTGTGTGGGACCATCAGCCACTGCCTACCACGGAGGGGGCCAGAGGCACTGTGCTGGACACCCAACGTGTGGTTCTGCCGGGCTCCGATTCAACTCGAGTCGAGCGCCCCCATGGAAAAGCCAGGGGCCGGCAGCAGGAAGCGGCCTGTGGGCTCTGTAGTAGGGAAAGCCACCTGGGAACCAGTGTCTCTGCCCAAGGCCCAGCTCCTGTCCAGGAGATGGGAGATGCGGGGGGCCCCTTTCCGGTGAGGGGCTGCCTTCTGTCGAACTGCCCCACGCCAGGCTTGGACTGAACCTTACTCTAAAAAGACAGTGACACGGGCACCTGGGTGGCTCAGTCGGTGAAGCGTCTGCCTTTGGCTCAGATCATGATCCCGGGGTCCTGGGATCGAGTCCTGCGTCGGGCTCCCGGCTCAGTGGGGAGCCTGCTTCTTCCTCTGCCCCTCCCCCCTGCTCATGCTCTCTCTCTCTCTCTCTCGAATAAATACAAAAAATCTTAAAAAAAAATAAATAAAGAGACAGTGACAAGCATGCTGTCCAGTGGAGTAAAGGGCGAGGCTGGAGCCCATGCTAAGTGCGCATGACCATGCTTTGGTGGACCGTCGGTTTAAGGAGAAGGGGCACTGGGAGAACCTGTGCGCCTCTGACCTGGCCGGCCAGGCCCCTCTCTGCAGAGGAGCCAGGGAGAGGCGGGGCTTGGGCTTGGGCGGGCGGAGCCGTGGTATTTGTGAGTGTGGGCCAGAGCTGAAGAGGACCCTCCTTGTTTGTGGAATACTTCTGTCCCTGGCTCGCTGTGCTTGGGGTCACCAGGGAGGGGGAAGGAAACAAAAAGGCCCATGGTTGTGGCCCGTGGATTTGCTATGGCAGAAATTCTGCATCTATGAGAGGCATGCAGCCGCCCTCCAGGCTACCCGCAAGATTTCTTTAAAACTTTTCCACAAACGAATCTTATCAACCCACCCATCTCAACACGAATGCCTCCTTTGTGTACCCAGAACATATAGTTTTTATTTGCTCTAAATAGCTCAGCCCTCGAGCCCTCCCACAGCAGGAATGGGGTCACAGGGGAGGCAGCCCGTGAGGGTCGGGCCGGGCTCCACTCCGAGTCCGTGCCTTGTAGGGCCCGAGTTTCTTCATCTGACGATGTGGGTGCTAGCTTCCCAAACACAGCTGGTGTCAAGATGTGAGATTAAGAAAAAAAGCCCAATATACACATAGGTTCTGTGCCATGAGCAGCCTCTGTTGGTTCTCACCATAACTCTGCACCTGCCATGAACAGGCTCAGAGGGGCTACGAGACATCCCCCAAGGAAGTGGCATCACAGGGACACTGCGTTGCTTTTCAGTGAGGAGTAAATAACCTAAAACAAAAGTATACCTGCCTCTACATCCATTTTATCCAGTGGGGTTCAGTAAATGCTGGTAGAATTAAACTGAATTTGGACTGTGAGACCAAAGGTCGGCTGAAGTCAAATCCAGCTGACTTTGGTCCTTGGTCTTACCACCTACTCTGTGACCTTGAGCATGTGAGTTCATCTCTTCAAGTCCTGAGTGCCTCAGCTGCAGAATGGGGTGAACTATTGGAGCTCACTCACAGTATTGCTCTGACAAGTCCTTGAGGTGCACGTAATAAAGTGTCTTAGCACTGGTGCATGGTGACCAGCCATCAGTTAGGGCCTTTGTTACTCTAGCTGTTACAGTATTTTAAAAAATGACTCTGGGAATACCTTGTGCACAGTGTTAAGATTCTATACAGTTTCCACCCACCCACCCATCCATCTACCTGTCCACCCAATCCATCCACCCATTCATCCACCCATCTATCTACTCATCCACCCATCCACTCACTCATCCACCTACCCATCCACTCACCCATCCATGCATCCAACCACCTACCCAATCACCCATCTACC